TGTTTCATAGGAAGACCTTGTCTCCAAACACCATATATATGTTGTCATTCAGAACATTTGGAAATGGCAAGGCAAGTTTAAATTAACGAGTTCCGTTTTTATTGAAAAAAGCAGCTGTCAATGATATCAGAAAGCCAGGACTTTAATTAATCATAGGGAATGGTTTTATATGAACTTGAAAAGTTGTGAATATTTATGCTGTTGATTTTGGTGGAATTTTGGGATTTCAATTTATTTCAAAAGTCTCTGCATTTTTTTATGTTTCTTAGATATAATGTTGCACAGTACAAAGAAAACAAAATTTAAAACTTTTTAAAATCTTGGGAGGGATCTTGGGAGGGTTGCTAAAAGTATAGTTTAATTTCTACCCAAAGTAAATTTTTACAAATGATACTATTTTCTAACAGATTCAAAAAACAGTCAGGGCAACAAGGCTTCCAGATATAAATTTATTTGTGTTTTAAATGAAAAAAATTTATTTTTGGTAGATGAACATCATAAAATTAATATATATATATATATATATATATATATATATATATATATATATATATATATATATATATATATATATATATATATATATATATATATATATATATATATATATATATATATATATAAGTAGTTTTCACATAAATTAGGTTCAACTTTCAAGGAAAAAGACGTTATAGGCGCGTCAGAGTTGCTTATACCATGAAAACAGAGTTAAGTAATAAAAAAAATTTAGAACCTTAAAGAAGAAAATTATACAACGAAAGCAATTCTTAAAAAAAATAAATGTAAAGTATTAGAAAAAGGATTTGAAAATCCGGCATTGGATTATATTAATTGTAAAGAGATAGGACCACACACTTAACGGCAATGTAACGTGTAAATATAGAGTTAAATAAATGACGCTATATTTACACGTTACATTGCCGTTAAGTGTGTGGTCCGCGGGTATTAATCATGTTAATCTTAAAAGGAAGTAAATTGATTTCTTTTAAATCAGACACCAACAAAACAAATATTCTTATATATTATATTGTACTCATTTGAAATTACTAGTGAGTAATATAACGAAGATTGACTCCGTCAGCGAACTTAACAGTTTGTCAAGAGATAGCTGTTGAAATATATATCTAGTTCATAAAAGTATCAAATCTTTTCTGTCTTGTACTTTTATCTAGTTCTCAAAGCGTACTTAGTTTACTGAAGCATTAATAGGAAGAAAATTTCAAATAATTTTTTTCAAATACATGTATATTTTATTTTGTGTATGTCCTTTTTGCGTACATATAAATAAAATTTTCATTAGTTCACCTTCTGTGGGGATATAAGGAACTTAAAATGACAGTTGATTTCCTTATTTTGTTTGCATATAAACAATATCCCCTCTTTTGAATTCTCTCTCTCTCTCTCTCTCTCTCTCTCTTTTAAATCATATGGATTGTAATTTGATCTTTTCTCATTTAATCACATGATCTCACCTCTGATGTTTTGGTGGTCCGTGTTTGCTCTGCTCCTACATCTTGTATTGTTTTATGGAATTTAAATCCTGAATACTGTTCGTTATCTCCATATAATTCATTACAATGTATTTTTCAATGGTCATGAATTAAAATCATATACTCGTCAAACATCTCCGATTGTAAGGTCTTTGTTTTTGTTTTAAATAATGATGCTTTTCTTCTTCTTGGCCAAATTATCCCGTTAGAACTTAGTGGAGCTCGTCTCATCGGTTAACATGTGATACTTACTTTTTCCTCCAAGACACCAAATCCCACCATTAAAATTATACATGTATATCCAGAATCCGCGTTTATACCATGTTGACAAAAATATATTGCTTGTAGTTTTTAAATTGAGATTAATTGCCATTCATTATCTCCATCTTCTTTATTTTTTGCATTTTCAAGCGACATTGTCATTGAAAACTCGATTCCTTATCGACAGGTTTAGAAAGTGATTACTTGTTTAGTAATATTTCCTTGTAGTACATGTAATTAGTAGTTATAAGGATATTCAAACAAAAGGTTTTTTTTAAAAACAAATGACCTAAAAAATCGAACGATTACAGAGCTGACCATGAATATTTAATTTTGCAATTTAGCATAGTGTACATGGTGTGTAAACCAAACGCATTTATAAAAATTTGCAATTTCTTGCGGGAATTATTCATAAGGAATATCAAAATCAAAGTGTTCTTATTTTATACTTTTCCATAGGTATAGGTAACTGAAGCTTAATTCCTGAATACTTTGTTTTATTGACAGACTAAGTTACAATTAAAAACAGTAAAAAAGTCTCCTATCGAAACCCGTTTTGTGTTAACAATAACTTCTGCATGTAGCCTAATCAGTGGAAATATTTAATCATGATAAACTAAAATTCATGAAAAATGTTTCTTACAAATTTGATATTCTTAATTGGACTAGATGTTTGCTCAGGATACGGTATATATATTTTCTATTTGTTTTTGATTTTTGTTACTTGATTTAATTGTAGCATATTTTGTTTTCTTCTGTTTTAATAATATGACAGTTCTTGTCTGATTATCTCAAGGAAACACATTGCTTATGATATTTATTTTGCAGTAACACTGATTTTATATTATATATATCTTGTGTTAATTTATTTCTAAAAATTGCATGGAAAAAGTTTTTTCAGATTTCAGTCTATGTTTTCGATTTGGATGAAGAGTGAGCTAAAATTGTAATACGTTGATGAATTGTATTCTCAAACACATACCCTATAGGAAAAATGCGATATGTCAAAACCTATTTATTTTTTTTAATATTTAAAACCGTTGGATATTGAAAAAATTTAGTCTCCAGTTTAGTTGAAATAGGACGATGGAACTTCTTCAGTTAATGTGTGTATGTATATGGAAATACTCATTTTATGGTTAAAGTAAACTTAAAATCTAAAGGTCTCCATAATTCGTCAAGTGGATCTCACTATATAAGAATCTTTCAACACAGAAGAAAGACTTAGATAATGACTCTAGAATTAGATATCCCTCGAGGAGAAAAGCTCACTCTAATGTGCATTCTCGATGGAGGTCTCACAAAGAGAGGATGTATAGCTCCTCAACTCTAAAAAACTTAATACAGTCTTTGGTTTAACATGTTTTGCATGAAGAATGTGATGGAATTATAATATCTAGTTCAGTAAATAACTAAATCTTTCAACATAAATAACTTTTAAGCAATAAATTTCATAGAAATCTGAATCTTATATCCAGAAAATATACCATTAATACATATAAAAGATTATTTATTTTTCATTGTTCCTGGTTATAATATAACCTAATATTCGGATTAATATCACGACCAATTTCCTTGTCCAATAATTGAAAATAATGATTGAAATAAAAACAAAATTAAAAAAACGCCATTATTTATTGTCAGCATGTTTTGTTACTGCACTTTACAATTTGAATAAAATATGGAGATAACAATAATTATGCAAACACAAAGTTCATTAAAAGAATACAAAGCAAGAGCAGAACAAACAAATACCTCAAAATATCAGAGGTGGGATCAGGTGCCATAAAAGAGTGAGAATATCCTTCTCTCTGTGTGTGTCACACCAGCAGTGTGCCCCTTGTTATGATCAGAAAAATATGTATACAATACAATGTATAAAACTTGCCTACAATTAGTATTCAAAACATCAGATATAACATTTGACTCAATGGTAAATTGTATTTGCTTGAAATTTATTTTCTCGACCATAGATCTACATTACAAAATGATGACTTCAAACGAGATTGTTGAAATCCTTGATTCATCAAACAAATAGGGAGAGAATTTGTCAAACCGTTGTTCCTTTCATTTCAAGCTCCCTGGGATATATCGAGTCGAGATATGAATAGAAGTTACTATTGTTTATCGAAAACGCGTCGTCGATACATCTTAATGTCGAGTTGAAGGCTACAGTTTTTCTTCTTCTTCTCGTTTAAAGGAAGGAATTGAACCAATTTTGCTTTGTACGAATAAAAACAAATAACAATCTAAAGATCATATTAATAAAATGTTTTCAACATTAAAAAAAAAATAATTGTCTATTTACATTAATTTTATTATGTTTATCTATAACAGTATGATATTAATACATTTGTAATAACAAAAAAAAAAAATGATATTCATGTAGTTTAGGTTGGTTATAAAGAAAGGAACATAACCTTTCTTTATATAACAGAAGCTCGCTTGAGGTAGAGGTTAGAGCGCTTGTTCTAGAATTGCAGTGTAATGAATCGGTTCTACGTCAATGGATCGAATGTTACTATTGGACACAGAGAATGACCTTCCGTATGAGACCGTTTAAATTTAGGTCTTTGTTGCAGTAAGGGTCAGGACGCAGAAGACCCCTCACGCTTTACGGTCGTACATGTAACTATCGAGTTCATATCTCCGTATGCGTGACTTAAGAATTCTCAAAAAGGGACGAAAAACAACATGGGGCGTTGAACAAACAAATAAAGCTTCCTCATAACTGTTATTCTTTTTATATTCTTACACGAATCAATGTGACAAAAATGTTTTTCTTTATTCTAAAAACAGAATTATCTTATTGGTAGATCTCAGTAATCGATTTTAAATGTATTTCCTTTTTGTACATTTGATACTTGAAATTAAGATTTGAATATCATTTTAAAATCTGACACCTTAACTTAGGGTAGGTTAGTTATGATAATCTGTTTTTTTTTCTTCAAATGTTTGATACCTCCAAATTTTTGTTGATCCTCATACCGTCAATATATATATCTAATATATTTATATTTTAATCTTTAATAAATGTCTAAAGCATTCTGAATGTTATTTGTATAATGACTTGATTCTTCTGATTTATTTCTGAATTTTAAAGCATGGATGGTTCAACCTTTAAAGAAAGACCTGTGTTGACATAATAACATTTGAAACTTTATTTTAGATAATTTGTCTTTAAATCGGACTGCAGACGAACGCATTATATTTCTCTGCTCCAAGGATTTTAGCTGCAGTCACTATAAGGCAAGCAATGCAGTTGATGGAAATATATCAACATGTGCCAGAACAAAGGTTATTTCACCTTACGGTCCTGACCACGTGTCCTGGTGGCGTGTAGACCTTGGAAGCATAGTCAGTATTTATAGTGTCAGGATACAGTTCAAAGACTATGGAGAACAACATGGTACTTTTGTAAAATCAGCAAGTACTTAGAAAAAAAAAGTAGTATTCTTACATTAATAAAAGAATACAAATACACGAGAGAGAGAGAGAGAGAGAGAGAGAGAGAGAGAGAGAGAGAGAGCATTTTATATTGGCTTTAATAATAATTCAAACCACAGGTCTACATAACTACGATAAATTATTGTGGAAACTTTCCTTCAGAGTTACTGTACAAGAAGGATATTGAGATAACGAACAGTATTCAGTATCAAAGTCCATAAAACAATACAAAATAGGAGCAGAGCATTCACGGACCTCGAAAACATCAAAGGTGAGATAAGGTGCCATGGAGGAGTGAACATTCCCTGCTGACCGGTCACACCCGCCTAGTGCTCTTGTCATGATCAGGAAATAATAGAAAAATCCGTTGTCAATTCAATTTATAAATAATGGACTTACAATTAGCAAGAAAAACGTCAGTCAACATTTGACTTAATGATAAATTGTATTTACTGACAAGGTCATTGTATCGACATAGAACTTACGAAATGGCGACTCTACGATAGACTGCTAATATTTTTGTTTCATCAACTTGTTTATCAATAATTTACTTCGTTTTAGAAAAAGGAGACAATTAAGGTAAATGAAAGTGCTTCACCATGTTTGTTATTTAAAAGAAAGATAATTTGTTATGATATTCATAAAAGAATAAAACGTAATTGGATGAAAAATGCATTCGACCCACTTTCCGAGCATTTAAAATTTTCTTTTTTCTTCAACTTTAGAAAATGACAAAAATCATATTTTGAGAACGCTCGTTGCACCCACATATGTATCAAGTAAAAAAAAACGAAGATTGTCCTCCTTAGAAAATATAGAAGTAGGTAATAAAAACTCTCGCTTTTTGATCAGAAGACGTAGGTTCAAATCCCAATCAAGGCAGGCGTTCGCAGGATAATGTATGAGGCGCCGTATTTTAAATTGACTCCGAAAAAGGGATACCACCTATTCGAAAAGGTTATATCACCTATTCAATTCGAATAACTGATATAACCTATTCAGCTTCTTAATAGATTATACCAGAGTTTTAAATAAGTGATATCACCATTATTTGTTTCTATTCAACCTATTCGAATAGGTGATACCATCTATTCGGATAATAAAGCGATAAAACTAAATTAATAATATGAACAAGTGATACCACTTATTTGGATAGATGATATCATTTATTCGAACTTATGATATCACTTATTTGAAAAGATGATATTAGAATATGTGATACAATCTATTTAAATACTTGATATCACCCGAGGGCAATAAATACAAAAACGCACCTCATGATAAAGAATCTTCACTGCTTAATGGTGCTGAGTGCTGAGTAAAGGTCGAAATTTTAAGCCCTTGACTTGTATATGTTGTTGTCTTTTTATCAGATAAAAATTAGGGAATGTTAAATTAATCGACACACAATCAATAAAAAAGACATTTTGCACTAATATATATGTTACTTTAAATACGGCCATTATCATATCAAAATTTACAACTATAGACATCTTAAAATCGATTATTCTGACCATGAAGACATAAGAAATAATGTTTACTTAAAATTTGGTTGTTTTCAAAATTTATCTTTATGCAACTCTAGCTGCTAGACAAAAGGGGCGTTTTGCAGGATTCTCTTTGTACGTATCAAACACAATGAAACAAGAGGAATTGTTTCTCTGTTACAAAAATGGACCTGAACTACCACCCTTGGATTTCACCATAAACTGCTCCAAACATGGTCGGTACATCAAATATTACAACGAGAGACTTCCCAACATAGATTATCCTGATGTCTATGAACTCCAAGCATATTCTCAATTGTGTGAAGTTACAGTGGAAGGTCTGCATTTTCATAAATGCATTTTTTTTTAATGAAAAATATTTAGAGATTGATTAAAATTTCATTTTGTTTTTAATTTCCATGTCAAGGTTGCAGAACTCCAGGGCGTTATGGCAGTAACTGTTCTCTCCAATGTCCACTTAATTGTCAAAATCAGCGATGTGATATTGTCAACGGATCCTGCCTTGGATGTCGGCCTGGATGGACAGGAACATTCTGTAATCAGCGTGAGTATATACAACGATTTTTCGAAAATACATCAAAATGTTTCATTGCATCAAATACAAAATCTTATTTAAAATACCGTTAATCTGGAAATTTTTACGTCGATTCTATTTTGCGAATCTGGGTCAAAATGCTGTTGATTAATTTTTACGTTTCAAAATTTTGTAATTGACCCTACTTTGTTTAATTATTTTTGTTGAATTATTTTTAAGAACAATATTTTTCTAATGGAATGAACTCGAAAATTTGCTTAAAAATTTATTTACAGCAAAAATCTCCAGATTTACTATACTAAATAATGATGTTAAGGGATCTAGAATATGAAATAAATTCATAAGAAATAAAGATGCTAAAATCTTTGAACTTATTTCAAACCAGGTTGAAACTGTAAGGACATAATAACTAAATGTACATGTACATTTTTTGTTTGTAATCTTGGGGTTATTTTAACAAATTTAAAAACATCAGTTTTTTTTTGCCTCTGAAAACCGCTCTGAATACAAAAGCGGGAAATATTTAGTAATCGTAGTACATAAAGATAAAAGAACTTTAGTTTTATTAGATACTTAAACAGTATTCTTTTTTTTACTTTAGTTTACTGTAGAATCATTTTATTTCGTTGGGTGCAATGTTCGTCGGAAAGCAAAGAGCCATAGCTGCCTTACCGACGACACGGCCCACTCAAGTATTTAAAAGGAAATCACCTGTTTCTATTTATAGACACATGTACCTTTTCAATTCAAGATCAAACTAAATGCATGTAATTATTTGTGGACCAGGTATATTTTCATAGTTGCAAGTTTGTTACATGACAATCATTTTACTTGTTCAATACTCTTATTCAAAACAAGATTTTTAGAAAATTTTGAAAATAAAACAAGGTAGCAGCTATGACTTTGGGACATTAAAATAATTTAGGACTGTTTTTCCAGAGATAATTTCAAGGTGTAATGTTGTATTATATATCTCTTACATTATTTATACATGTATTATAAAATAATAAAAGAAAACATAGGAAAAATGCACAGAGAGAAAAAAATAAAAGCATAGATAAGAAACACGCACTGTGAGACTCGAACTCACGATCATTATGTCTACAATCCAGCAATCATACCACTGCGCCACAAAGTCATTGTAATTGGATGGACAAATTTAAGACAGATTGTTGAATCTTAAAATAATTTTGAGATGAAAACTTAAATACATTTTTCAACATTTTCAATATGAAGACCACCTTTAACCAAAATTATCTAAATGTAATGAAGTGCAGTCATATCCAAATAAAGTTATTCAGAAGTTGTTTTTCTGGTTAAGGGTGGTCTTTTGCTACAGTTTGTCATTGTTTAGGGGGATACCTCAGTATTTACTATATTCTCCATATAAACTGAACGATTTTTATATCTATCATATGAGGGAACTATTAATATTTAAATATTATTTTTGTGTGATATGCTTTTAGGCATGTATAAACTAACATTGTATGACAAAATTTTGGTTAAATAATGTATTTTAAAAATCACTACTAGAATAGGCGAAAATTACTATCAAATGCGCTATGGCTCTTTGACCTATTCGTTGAGACGTATTTTTGTGGGTTAAATATCAGTCACATTATTCAGCGATGGGGTATACGATGAGAAATCGATGCGTTTTTTTTTTATAAAAATGGCGTGGTTGCCGACCGGACACCTTTAGTAATCGGACGGTGAACTGAGGCCATTTGGCGAATCGGTGGGGGTCATTGGTAGAAAATAGGTTATAGTGAAAAATCAGCGGTGACTCCACCGATGCCCCACATCGGTAACCCATCATTAACACATCCTTCAAGGATTGGCCGATGGATGGCCGAGCATCGTCAAGTGTCCGTTGAATCAGAGGTCACCAGTGGGTTGAGTGTTGGGCAACAGACATCGGTCAATGTTCGACCAAACATTGGTCCATAGTCAACCGAGGTACCAACGGTGTTCACCAATGTATGAGCGTTGTAATATACATCGGCCGATTACCCTGGAACATCGTTTTATGATTAGCAATGCATCGCTGGGCCTTCATAAGTCCGGCAGGTAACCACACCATTTTTATCAAAAAACGCATCGGTTTCTCATCGTATACCCCATCGCTGGATAATGTGACTGATACTTTTAGGACTACCAGGCCGATGTGGATCAATGTTGGGCATCGCTCACACCATGGATTACCACCGATTACCATCGGCCGGGAAATGTGACTAAGGCATTATTCGTAAATACGAAGGTTTTCTATGAATCAATATATTTACAAAATAAACGTCCATGGTGATAGAAATTTGTGGTTAAGGATGATCCACGAATTCCATGAACATCTGTCCCCGATGAACCATGATGATTCTACAGTAAATAAAAGTGTTTTCAGTTTGTGCAATACATCAAAGTTATTTGTACTAATTTTATCTCAAAAAAGTAGACAATGATTTTCTAGGGATAGATAGCATTCAACTTTGATTTAATTTTGTTCTATTATGACGTACAATTGTTAATTTTAATAACTCGTGTATGTAAGAGGCCTACGCTAACGTTGAAGCGTATTTCAAACAAGTATATGATATAAAAATTATCCGTCCCAACTGAAAGCCAGACATATATAATTCAAATTAGGAAGAGGAATAGAAAATTTTCTTCGGATATGCGGGTTGATGGTCTCTTTTTATTGATTTTATTTTTCAATAATACTATAATATCGTTTTCCAAGCATTTTCTCGTAAAGAATTATGCAATAAGTTCATTTAGTAGAGAACGTTTTAATCTTGGCCATCACTAGCACCGATTTGTGTGATTTGTAACGTGATTACAAATGTAATCAAATTGTGATATCACTGCATAAACGAGGAATGTCCCAAAAAGTCGTAAACAGGGAAAACAGTTTAGTTTCTCTTTGCCAAAATAATTTTTTTTTCTTGTCATAACAAAAAGTAACATTTTATGATCATGCATTTCAAGATTCAGGATGATATCACATTTAATAAGAAAATAATGAAAAAATAAAGAGAGAATGTAAGTGTACATCGGCACGCGAAAGCAAGCTTATATATATTCATGTCTCTTATAACATCAAGATCACTTTTCTGCTTCAACGCATCCGTTTGAATCCAATAATTTTTCTAAAGTGAAAAACCACTCATGACTAAGGGACGTATTTATATTCATTAGTCCTTCTTTTATTATTATTTTGGCAGATTCAAATTTCAGTCCAAATCTAGTCGAAAGATTGCCTTACATTGTAAGCAGCAGTGAATACACACTGTTTGACGTCGTTCGTGGACCAGAACATGATCCACTGTCTGCGTTTGACAAACAGTACTCTACTTCTTACATGCGGTAACTATTTTCGATAAAGAATAAATAAATATCATTGAATCTCATACCATTTAAAAACAACTCCTCTATTAGAATCTAGTACGTAATTTCATTTCTGTACTCTTTACCTTCTCTGTTGTATATAAACCATAACAAAACAATTTATTACATCCCCGTGCGTCGGCTACGCGTTTGACGACGTTATTTTCATCAAACTCAATTCCAACAACACTTTGAAAATCACGACACCAATCGTCCGTTTTAAAACTATTTATATGAAAATTTGACATGTTATTAAAATTTAGATTCTGGTTTCACTGATTTAAATCTGAATTCAATGTTTTTAACATAGTACCAAAGAAATAAAAACAAATGTAACATGCAGTTTTGCGCATAAATTATTCCAAATTTTGTTCGTGCGCCGACAGACCATATCGGCCGTCATATAAGTAGTCCCAACACTAATAATATGAAAGATATATTTATAAGAACTCACAATTCAAATCAACATTGTATATATTGTGTCTATGCAAAATTTGGTTTGTTTTGGCTGCATATAAACATAATCATTGTTTACGACCTTTTGGGACAACCCTCGCATGTTTTTAGATACATAACTGAAAAAATGATCAATGCAAAATGACTGCATTTGAATATGTACAATATTATTAACAAAATTTAATTTAAAATCTTAATATTTTTTTTGTTTCATCCAGGCATAGAATACATGTAGTTGAGTAGATTTCTTATTAGTACAATATTCGGAGAGCCAAGTACTTCTTTGAGACTGAAGCTTGTAACTGTACGAAAAATCTTGTAATATTTATTAGATTGCTCAATAATAAATGCAAATTCCCGTTTGAAACTTCATTTCACAGTTATCTTTTCAAGAAATCAATGTTTCATACCCTGCGTACATTTACAGATTTATTAAATGATTGTTGTTAGTCATTTTTTCGTTTACATTTTTTATTCAATATGGTCGAAAGCACATCTCAATTAAGGTTCAAAAGTGTTTTGTTTAGTATAATGTTAAATATTTTAATATTGTGAACAAACTTTATTTGAATGAAAGTAATTTCCGAGGGATACTCAGCAAACCTGTTACAATTCTACGAGGGTCATTCAAAAAGTTCGCAGACTTTTGTCCTAACTTTTTTATTTAAAGTCATATTAATCCAGATTTGGTACACATATTTTAAAAAAAAAAATTCGAATAATTTAAGTAAAAAAATGGATTGATTAATTGAATATTGTTTTACGGCAATTTTTCAGCCATGTTTCGGCGATTTTCATTTTTATAAAAATAGCAAAAATGGGATCACGGAGCAACGTTAAATTTGAGTAATTTACTAAATTGCAATTTATAGTATCTATCTTTAGCCATACCTTCAATAAATGGAGCTGAAACGAAATAAAATTTACATGTTTAAATTAATGCTTGTTGTATTGCTTATGATGCTATCAGGTAATATAATAAATCGCTCCGTTTAAAAGATATCATTTTCTATATTCACATGGACTTGATTAAAAAAGGCTAAAAACCATAAGTTGGAGAACGTCACGGAGCAACGAGTAGCAATAAAATTTTGCTTTGCATTCGGGAAAATTCTTTAACAAACTTAAAAAATTCTGTATAAACCGGGAAATATGTGAAAAATAAGCCGTATATTTGTAAACGATGGAAAACACAATTTTTGAGTGGTAGCCAGTTTGAATCAGACGATGGATGGGCTGCAAAGAAACATGTTATAGTTAAAAATCTTGTCAAAAGAATCAAGTACGTCATTAAATGTGATGTGAGTTTCACTGTTGCGGAACTAATAGAGTTACATGTATTACGCGGTAAAAAAATAACATTGTTAGCAAAGAAGGTATCAAGTGTTATGGATACCTTTTTTTGAATCAAGAAGACGCTACAAACTGTGTATGAAATAAAAAAGCAGAATAATTTTGGAAACTTTCTCCACGCGTTGGTTTTGACATTACAGTGTTGGTTAACAGTGCTCAGTGATAACATGAGTTCTAATAAATCAAATGGATTGAAACTCCACACGTCAACAAAATAAATGTGCTTATTTACAAATATGTATCGATCTTTAATCTTGTAATAATAATATGACGATGGGGAACATTGTGTATGCATTTTTTAAATGAGCTTCGTACTGTGTATTTATTTATTATATACCTAATGTGTATCACCCAATTTTACTGTTGAATTTACGCTATCACGTGACGTCGTGATCCGATTTTCCGGATCATCAACATGTTGTTTTCTGAATCCATATCACCACTCTCTGAAACTGATGACGTAGTACGCAGAAATATGACGTTATTTTTCTTGCGCGTTAAAAAGTCCCTTGTTATTATGCTTTGTTTCATGGATAAATGTTATGCAATTGATCTCTAAAGTTTTCTTTTGCTATATTTTGCTAGTTATGAGGGGGTATATAATAAATTTATCATTATAACAGTAACTTGATCCGAAGGGTCGTATCACGTCGAGTTGACAGGCGCGGATCATCAGATCAAACTTTGCGTCTTCGCGTCTCGTTAGATCTGATGATCCGCGCCTGTCAACTCGACGTGATAAGACCCTTCGGATCAAGTTACTGTTATAATAATATATATGTATCGTATATTTTCACTCGAGGAAAGTAACCGTCACGGATGGAATGCACGTACTTAAAAGATGACACGAATATATATTTCTTGAAAGTATGTCTTAAATCACAATTTAAGATTTGTTTTCTAAGCATGCGAGGTTGGTTTTTATGGACTTGAGTGCAGTGGGACTTGTTCTAGACACTGTTTGGATAATACGACTTGCAGTTATGTTAATGGAAACTGCGAAAAAGGATGTGTAGAGGGATTTGGAGGAATGAAATGTGAAGAAGGTAAATACATTCGTTCAAGTTGTTTGATGAAAGGAATACTATGGTATTTTTTACTACGCGGAATCAATTACCAAACGATGAGAGTAATTTTGTCAGCATATCTGAACTACAGTGCTTATGGGTCAAGAATGGACCAAAAGTTTGCACAATCCTTTAATAACCACTCATTAACACGTGGGCGCATGAAACATAATATCAACTTTAAAGCAGTGCAGTCACCCGCGTGACGCAGTAGTTAGAATATCTGCTCTAAAGTCGCGGACTAAATCGATGTACACGTTGCGGATTCGAATCTCATTGTTGGACGTGGGGACGTACATTCAATGAGTTGTATAAACAGTTTATGCTCACTGAAGTAAAATTTTCTTTTATTTAATGTTTATTATTAATAATTGATCTTTTATGATGAAGTTGGACCATATCTAGTTGTCTGTTTTGTTGCCCAAGTTTGCGTTCATGTTTAGATATAAGATTTATGGGTTAAACCTGAAAATATTCGAACTTTTTTTCTTTTACCCGATTTTATTAAATATCCGATAATTTTCCGCCCCCTTTTCCGCATAATATTGTTTCCCAAAATAGGCTGATTAAACCCTAAAGTGTCGTGATAGAAGCTGGCACTAGAATTCTCAATGTTCCTGGGTGCCATGTATAGGTCAACATTTGCAGCTCTACTTGGTGCCGTCTCCACATGAGTGATTTATTCTCGAGGGGGACGTTAAACAGAAATGTGTGGAGATAACGAACAGTACTCGAGCTTGCGCTCAAAAGTCCATTAAACAGTACAAAAATAACAGCGGATTAAACAAGGACTTCCAGAAGCAATAAAAAGAATAATAACTTATGCACTCCATATTGTGTGTGATTTGGTTCGTATATCATATTTTGATTTTGAATTCAAAAATTGCAGTGTTGCTTCAAATTATAATTATCGCTTCATATTGTAGAATGTGAAAATGGTAATTATGGGAAGAATTGTGCCTTAAACTGCAGTGGAAACTGTTTACGTAATCTAACCTGCAATCGGTTTTCCGGTAAATGTGAAGAAGGCTGCACTCCAGGACATACTGGTGTGCGTTGTGATGAAGGTAAATTAGAAATCTAGAACTTGTAAATTTATCAATGTGTTCGTTGTATATACTTGTATAGAAATTTATGCAAATGTGAACACGCAGCTTTTAAACCTGCGCAATCCAAATATACACACATAAGTCCATCTTTAATTGTATACAGACACCATGGTATAATGTCTAGTCTAAATCCGCCATGCATAAGATGATGATATTAGCAAATATAAGCAATAAAAAAGTTCATTCTTTGCATTAATTTGCTGCTCATTTGTGTAAAGGAAATCTATTTTGTTTTTGTTTTTGTTCAGTATGTCCCTTCGGATTTTTTGGTCAGAACTGTTCAGAAAAGTGTAGTTTTACCTGCAAGAGTGCTTGCAATCATGTGACAGGGAATTGTAATGCTGGTTGTAAAGCTGGCTACCATGGCGAAAAATGTGATAAACGTAAGAAGATTTACAAAAATATATATATATATATTCACAAAAAATATTTATCTGTTTGTTAATTTATTTGTGTTTATTATTAATTTCTCTTCAATATTTTTTCTAAGTTTGCCGCTTTGGTCGATACGGGAATAATTGTTCTAAAGATTGCAGCTTAAATTGCGTAAACCAGTCTTGTGACCACGAAATGGGTGCATGTAAATATGGATGTATTCCAGGTTGGGAAAACCCCAAGTGTTCTGAAGGTATGGTTCTTTTCTGTCTATGTGATATTTTCATTTCTCTCATTCAAAGTCCATACAAGTATTGTGTACGCATGCATTTTCTTTATTCCCAGCATAAATCACACAAACATAAAGCTTTTCTGATCACAGAGTGCACGGCGTACGTCTTTCGCATGTCTTCTGTCGTCCTAGCCATTGTCTTTAAACTTGAAACCTTTTTTGTCACTTGAGTAAACTCAGTTGACCTATTGCTCTCCGTTTTCTTCCGTCATCGTACATCGTGGATTATAATTTAACATTTTCAGTTTCTCCTCTTCAATCACTAATTATAAAATCTATTTCAACCAAATTTGGCAAAACGCATCTATTGGTAATGATGAACAAAAATTGTAAATTTCATTTTCCCAAATATCTGGGGCCTGATGGGTGGGGCCAAAACAACCAAAATGAATGTAATCTTTGAAAAATCTTTTTCTTTACTACTGGACATCAAGTAGTCAATGAAACTGTTTGCTTGATTGTAATAGGAATAGAGTCCTTGCACTCTACCAAATTTGTGAAATTTATGGCCCTATGGTCAGGGTTCTGGTGCTAGGACAGGGCTTTTTATGTCATAAAGTGAAAATGCGTTTTTTTTTCTTTTTGAAAATGTTTTTCTCTGCTCCGGGGTATTAAATAAAGTAAAAAGTTCATAACTATTTTTAAAAAGGCTACCTCTTCAAAAACTTTGAAAACCTTATCCTGCATATTTTAATAAAGCTACGCGAATCAAAATTTATTTATTGTATCTTGTTCTACATTATAATAGCTTACTGCATGAATTTCAGAATGTTCACCAATGACTTTCGGACCAAAATGTAAATACAAATGTAGTGGTCATTGTGCAGGATCGGATACTTGTAATCACGTGACTGGAATTTGTGCAAAAGGATGCGCAGACGGATATAATGGATCCTTCTGCGACTTAAGTACGTAAGACATAACTCGTGAATTTATGATATACATATTTTTTTTAGAATTTCAATTGTATATAGTAGATCCGATCATGAAGCAACTTCATGTCATACCTCAACCAAACTCTAATAGGATATTATATCTTTCATACAATGTATTTATATTTTATTTTTATACGTGTTACAAAGAAAAATAAAGTGGTAACAAAACATAATGTACATGACGACGTTACGTTATGTCTAGATATATGTCTAGAATAGTGTTGTGCAGTTTGCTTCCATGATGCAAGTACAATCACGTTCCATTGAAAGCTGTAACTGAATTTAATTCATATTGCCATATAAGGAAAATTTATCTGATTTTTTTTTTGTAATGTTGTTTAATGTCCCTCTCGAAAATTTGTAACTCTTATGAAGTTGCCATAAGGAAAGACATTCCTTGACAAATGAAAATGTTTTACACTGAGATGCATAGTTCCGAAGTGTTTTACCTTCTCCTTTCTATCTGACTTGTCTGTCTACTCTGCTTATTTTTGATCGCTTGTAAAATTTATCACTATGTTGTGCAAAACAATCAGGATCTTTCTGTTTGGGTCACAGTTTGAATCTTAAGAAATATAAACAACATAAACATGCATAGAAGTATTTAATAATATAGGGTTATTGAACTTATAGTGGTGAATATTGGCACAAAATGGCAGTACAAATGCTCGAACTTGCGAGTGTATTTGTACAGCCAACAGGTGTCAATATTCACCAATATAAGTTCAATAACTCCTTTATTATATAGCTAAAACATTTTGTAATAATTTGTAATAATAATTTTAATTACTATAATAAAATCTCAAATTAATGATTTTTTAGTATCGGTATTTAAATCAACGCCTGTCCTGTAAGTGTTAAAAAATTGACGATTTTTTGGTTAAAAAAATTGACGAGTGTTAATTTTGACAAAATATTTAATCAAGAGTTCTGTGATCTTTGAATTCACGGGGAGACAAAGGCAGCGTTAGAATCACTAAAATTTAATTTTTGTACAGCAGTGTGCATGGTGTGTACGATTGTACAAACTATCTAAGTGTGTAAGATTTGATTAAATAGTTGCCCTCTTGTAATCTGTTTTCATTATAAGGGGTCAGTTACTTGAGGTGACAAACTAGGTCAATTTACACGGCGTGATAATCACGCTAAGTTACGCATGCAGTATTTGATACACTAGTAAAAAATTCAATGGTTTAATAAGAGTGATTATATATCACTGTGTTTTTATAACTAATTACAAAGGAAATTAACAGTAAATTTGATCTAATTTAAATAGGGGAAAGCCGAGAAAATTAAACGGTAATGTTTATAATGGTCCATGCCTGTTGTGAGGCTATATTTAAGATTCACAGGCTTTTGGATCGCTTAAAAGAAATTGTGTGAAAAAAATTTCAACACCTCATTTTTTTAAGCGATCTAAAGGACTGTAATATGATTTGAAGTTTGACGAGTGTAAATTTTGACGAGAAAAGAAAAATCGCCGATATAGTCAAAATTAGCACGTCGTCAAAATTTCCACGTTTGCAGTATCGCATCATTCTGATGAGCCTACCGAGCGTTATGATTTGCTTATTTAGGTCTTAATGGGTCTAATACGTACTATTTTTTTATATAAATAATTTCCTTTTTGTGTAAAAACAAAAATAAACACATCTTACATAGATAACACTCCCTTTCTATAATTTAGTTCTTAGAATTCGACTAGACGACTTTTTTGTTTACAACGAGGCGTTCGATATTGAACGCTCGTATATGGAATGTTTCGGGCATACTCATATACGTAATACAAACTCAGCGTTCAATAAAACGTCAAGATATTGAACACTAAAATTCTCTAGATAAATTTTTTCGGTAGTATTTTATTAGAAACTATTTATAACCTATATAATATAATATATTTCACCATAATAGAGATGTTTATACAGCCTTTGGAACGAAAGATCTTCCTTCTAATGAATGTAATAAATTTTGGGAAATAGCTCATCCCTAAAGTGACTTGAATATAATTAATGATAAAAGATGTTTATTATATATAATGAAAAAAAAAATATCTTTTACTATATTTATTAGTTTGAGTATATTTTTCTTGAACTGTATACATATTTTTCCTAAAATATGCATTTTAAATTATGTTAGAATGTGTGGAAGGATACTTTGGTACAAATTGCTTGCGTCGGTGTTCAGAAAACTGCACGAACACTTGTAACCATGTTAGTGGAATATGTTACTGTTCCCCTGGCTTTTCGAATGATCCTTATTGCAAGGAATGTAAGTATTTTAAGCTCATCAATAATTTGAGTAATTTTTTTTTTGTTTAAGCTTAGTCCTGAACATAAACCTTGATGACTGTACTTTTGCACTCCGGATCCATCGATAACAGCATCATATTTCAGCAAACATAAGAAATTGATTATACAAAATTATAGATATGTTTATGATTCATATTTACATAATTTGTGTATTTTCAGTACTCAGAGGGGAACAGAACGGTGAAACAAATAGCAAAACAGTCGCACTGATTTTCTCTGTTGGGTTTAATTTCTTACTGCTTTGCTCTGTAGTCTTCTTGATCAGGTAAGAGGGAGATATTTACCTGGTAAAGGGGATTTTTTGACAGTAATTTCATTTCATAAGCATCGAATTCGTTATTTTTCTATTTAGAACGATTCAAATCAAGAGAAAAACTGAATCAAGAACAACAAAACAGAACATGGAGCCATTAAGTACTGAAAATTCTATGGATGTACACTATCAAGATTTGGAAACAGTAGACCGATCTTTCTGCTACGAAGAGCTACATTGACTACGAAAGACCATAAATCTCTTTATCAAAATTATAATGATATATAAGAACAACAATGCTTATCTATCAAATGATCCAAGATTTTACCTTATTATTATTCTTGGTTAAAGACCAGTATGCATGGTAAAGTAGGTATTATCTCATTTGTTACATGTATTGTGTAGATCTTCTGTAGATGTGTGGAAAGAAGAGAAAATGTATCTAGCTGTGTCAATTAGCCCTAATTAAATCAAAAAAGTTATATTTTTTGTCTTCTTTATAACGACGACTCAACTCGGATATATGGGTAAGTAGTTCCAGAAAATATTTTCATACGCCAATGGTTTTGAGAATTAATGGACCATGCTGAAAAAATCAAGGGTATTTTAAGAAATGTTCTATAGTTTAAATTCTTTTGGATAATGTATGGACATGTAGGCAGGTGGACGGAGAAAGACAAGAGAAGGTTTGACGGATCAACTGAGAGGATATTTGGTTGACAGGTCGACAGGTTAACAGGATATTTGGTTGACAAGTCGACGGGTTAACAAGATATTTGGTTGACAAGTTGATAGATTAGCATGATATTTGGTTGACAAGTCGACGGGTTAACAGGATATTTTGTTTACAAATTGATGGGTTAACAGAATATTTGTTTGACAAGTCGACGGGTTAACAAGACTTTTGTTTGACATGTTGACGGGTTAGCAGGATATTTCGTTGACAAGTTGACGGGATAACAAGGTATTTGTTTGACAAGATGACGGGTTAACAGGATATTTCGTTGACAAGTCCAGTAACAAGATATCTGGTTGACAAGTGGACGGATAAACAGGATATTTGGTTCACAAGTCGACGGGTTAACAAGATATTTGTGGACGTGTCAGCAGGATATTTGGTTGACAAGTTGACGGGTTAACAGGATATTTGGTTGACAAGTTGACGGATTAACAGGATATTTGGTTGACAAGTTGACGGATTAACATGATATTTGGTTGACAGTTCGACGGGTTAACAGGATATTTGGTTGACAAGTTGACGGGTTAACAGGATATTTGGTTGACAAGATGACGGGCTAACAGAATATTTGGTTGACAAGTTGACGGGTTAACAGGATATTTGGTTGACAAGTTGACGGATTAACAAGATATTTGGTTAATAAGTTGACGGGTTAACAGGATATTTGGTTGACAAGTGGACGGGTTAACAGGATATTTGGTTGACAAGTTGACGGGTTAACATGATATTTGGTTGACAGTTCTACGGGTTAATAGGATATTTGGTTGACAAGTTGACGGGTTAACAGGATATTTGGTTGTCAAATTAACGGGATAACGGGATATTTGGTTGACAAGTTGACGGGTTAACAGGATATTTGGTTGACAAGTTGACGGGTTAACAGGATATTTGATTGACAAGTTGACGGGTTAACATGATATTTGATTGACAGTTCGACGGGTTAATATGATATTTGGTTGACAAGTGGACGGGTTAACAGGATATTTGGTTGACAAAATTGACGGGTGAACAGGATATATAGTTGACAAGACGACGGGTGAAGAAGATACTTTTTGACAAGTTGACAGGTTGAGGGATTAAATGATCAATGAGACGACACGTTTATGGATTGCTTACTTAGCGGGTCTAATTTTATTCCGGAAGACAGTCCAACGGGTTGACTGGTTGACAGATCGACAAGTAAACGTATTGTAAGTTCGAAGAGGGGGAGGGAGGTATTTTTGAAATCGTAACTCAAACTTCTAAATTTTCTTATTCCATCTTCAGTCGTCAGTAAATACTGAAGAAAATATCCATCCTTATTCAACATGCGTACAGTGTAGGTGGTCGTATCACAAATAAGGATATGTAACAGAGAGTCTGTGCACATTCCCTAAGGAGAAAGTTCTTCAAGGGAATTTTCTGAGTAGCAGAAGCGAAACTCTTCTTCCCGATCCGTTACCACTACACAGTTCCAGTCCGACTTTAGGTTATCCCCATTAAGATTCTCTGTTATATACACAGGATATGTAAAGAGTTTCTTTCCGGACCTTGTGAACTGGATAGTTTGAGTTTACTGTACCTCAGCGTTGTAACGAGCTATCCTTGCTCCCCTTTCTTCTGCAGGGCCAGGGGAACTCTTTTTAACATTCCAACCAGCAGATCTCCAGAAGTGGGAGATACGCAAATACACTGAGCAGTCCATGACTCATACTTTTATGAATGAACTCTTTGTATAATTGTGTGCATAAAGTTTGTTGATGTTATAGTTCTTGTCAATATTAATAAGATTAATTAGTACCTCTAGTACTTTCTATATCTGTTAGACAATCTAAAGTGTCTCCTAATAACTGTTAATATAAGATTTCTAGATGATACAGTTACCCAAGCATTGTCCGAATCCACACACAGAATGTGATATCTCTTGTTTGATACCTTTCACTCAGGAAGATTTTTGAAGCACCGCTTTAAACAACATCTCAACAGCGCTGTTTTGTTTTGTTTTGATTGGAAGGTCGGACGTCATTCAGAATATGAAAGCATCACCACATTACCAATTGATATATTAATGAGCACACTGTGTAGAAACCACTTGAACTTTCTTTAATTAAGGCACACGGGTTGATTTTCATTTTTATTGTTATAAAAGATAAAAAAAACAAAACAAATGAAGGTAACATTATTACTAGCAGGATTGGGGCGAATAACATTGTAAAGTAATGCATTCATTTTCATTACTTCAACAATATGGGCATTAAATTAACATTACTGTATTTTCTTAAAGTAATGCATATCATTGCCATTACTTTAGTAAAGTAATGCATTACCGTTTCCATTAATTTTGGAGGTTTTTTTAAAAATAAAAAATAAAAAACTTTTCAATTTTTTTTATAAGCACGCATCCCCCCACCCCCTTCCCCAACCCTCAAAATTAAACACGATCAATAATAATTCAAATTTGATTATAAGTACTTGACATATATATATTACACTGTCAATAACTTACATTCATAGGAAGTTCGAAATTTTTAAATTGCCAGTAATATAAAACATGTAAAATATGCACTTTTTTGTATTTCCGTCCTAAAGCAATTTAACTTTTGGGGCACTTTAACCCCTGCCCAAAATATCTAATAACACAGCATAGGCAATTTTGATCTAGTACCTATGAAAAAAGAAACATTGACAAACTTGTAAAAAGGGAGTTAGTATGTACATTTGCTTTGCCAAGCATTAAATGCCTGTATATCTTCTATTTTCTTTCAAATTGGTACAATGGATTTTTTATGGTCCGTTCAGACTAGACCAGCTCAATTAATGTATTATAAACACAATTAGAAGAATAGGACGGGTTATTTGGAGCACTTCTCCAAACAATGCACTGTTTAAATCTAAATAATTTTAAAAATATCCTAACCAATAATTTCCACGTCAAATTTAATTTCTTAAAATAGGTATACATACAAAATAATACTTTGTAATGCTGTGTAATGCCAGCATTTTATTACCATTACATGTAATGCAAATTTTTGGGCATTTTACATTACTAGCATTACTTTGAGTTTATATTTCCTCTACAATTAGCATTACCCCAAGCCTGATTACTAGTATTGTACATCAAATGAATAGATAAGAATCACATTGATAGCTGAAGGCTAGTGATGCTTTAATTTTATGAGCTTGTTAAAATGAAACGTACTGAGAAATCAAACAGCAATCATCTTTCTTTTTTACAAGATTTCTATAAATTAACTTCTAACACTCTAATAAAATTCAATTTAAAAATTCTTTGCTTAAAATTGTGCTTCTAGGGTCATATTTTATAGGGACAAACATATATACGTTTAAACCAAAAAAAAAAAAAGATTCTATTGCATTTGCAATATGTCAAAACTGTAAATCTTTTAAAAAATGAGAAGAAAGAAATTTTACTTTTTTTTTTGGTAAAAAAAAAATATGCATATGGAACTTTATTCTTCAAAAATATTAGAAATGTATTGTAAAGTATTCCTAAACAGATGGTCGAGATTCAATTGGACTGCAATATGTCGTCGTTTTAAAAACAAAATATCGAAGCCGAAGTACAATCAGCAATTTATGAAAATGTACCTTAAATATCAACTTACCACTCTTAATTGATTGTGCTTTGATACTCTAAAAAAATTCATTAAAAATTGAACACTTGAATACCCACCATGAATTCTTCATTAAATTTCCTTTTTCTGTAATTATTTAAGGAATCACCATCTAGTTAGTACAGTATGCCAGAGCATCAACCATAGTGGGAAACATGGGATAATTTGCATAACGAAGCTAGTTATGCATAAATTATCCCATGTTTCCCACTATCGTTGATTTCCCTGGCATACTATACTACATGTAACAAGACAGTGATTCCTTATATTTCCATTTCATTCCGAAAAAAATTGTAGATTTTGACTTTAAAATGTAGACATAAATTAAATTACACGAGGACTTTCATGCCAGTTTCAGTAGTCCTCGCCCTCTGACGTCAAACACAAAAGCAGCCACACGAGATTTGCAAGCATATTAGGCCTCCGTTGCTCCTGACCTATCGACCTGCCTAATTTACATTCTGGCAGAATTATCAAGAAATCAACTCCGCTAACTTTCAAAGGGTTTTCAGAAAGAAAAAAGTTAGAAATGGAAATATTTTCTGCATAACCAAGATCTCAATTATTCAGGTGTAAAACACATCCAAATAGGCCTTTTTAAACAATAATTCAAACTTCACATTTAAATTTTTTTATTTGCTTTAAAAACCTTGTTCCATGTTCTATTATAGAAATACAATCTACAATCATAACTAATGTATACCATTTATGTCTGTCACAGTAAGGCAATTAATGTAAAGAATTTTTGACAACCGGTATACATGTATATATTTATCTTCTTCAATATATAGCAAATTTACAAATACTGATTTGTATTGTGCATATCGCTTAAAATCAATTGCAACGGTATAGCAAAGGTCGGTATGGCATAATTAAAATACCGGTTTGTTAATTCCCATGGAAACAAAAATAAAATTTTGCTACACAGTAATTTAGGTACTTTTAAGCAAAAAAATATATAAAAATGTAAGTGTATATTTAACATAAAGCTATGCCGACTGTTTTTTTTTCTTTAAAAGAAATCAAATTGATATAAAACAGAATCTGTTCGCAAATTTTCTAAACATGGCTTTC